CCTCCTCCTCTCTCTCTCTCTCTCTCTCTCTCTCTCTCTCTTCCTCCTCCTCTCCCTCTACCTCTCTCCCTTTATCTTTCGCGAGCGATAACCGAGATTGTGCGCGCAACTCCTTGTATGACGGGCCTATAATTTGTCGACGTACGAAAATCATTATGGTTTCCTTCAGCTCTCGAATTTTGTCTCCTTAAATCACTCGTGCAATCGCGCCGGGTTCGGGGCGTTTGTCCCGGTTATTATCAGCTTAAGCGTACAGCGGACAAATGCTGCAGCGTATCATAAAATACCAGGTTGCACGTGGCTGTCCTACGTATCGCGTTACAAGCGCCACGCAATATAGCCACGCGGCGGAGTGATACTAATCAGCGGAGTGTCCGCGCCCCTTTCCATTGTGTCAAACCATTTATTATCACGTAGGTTTCATCCTCTTACCGCATGGAGTACCGTACCTTTCTACGTTTACGCGATGAGTTAATCACACGTTACGCTCACCGCGCGATCGGCGTGCCCGCATCGAATTTACGAGACGAGCACGCAATTAAGTCCACGTAGCTTTTTGGCTGCGCCTTAAGCAGGACTTAATTAATTGCTCGTCCGCATATCGTCTCAATTATCCAGATAATTTTCTGAGTTACTCTTTGAAATTTATTTAATTGTGTACACTGGAAAAGTTATATTTAACTGGATTTACGCAAAAGCATAATTATTAATAAGTTTCACAAAAAGAGAATTTGATATTGCACCTTAAAAAGGAATGTACTAAAATGATTCTAAAACATAATATTACTTTTGTTGCTCTTTTGTTAGCTCATTTAAACAAATAACAAAATCTCGTCAAAATACCTAGCATCTTTGCAAAAAGAGAAGATAGCAAGTTTTGTAGACGCAAGGTCTGATTTAATATATAAATTGAAGAAACATCTTCGAGAAGAGAAGTGCAGAGCAAGCTGCTGCTGGAATTACGAGAGTTTCCGAGAGTTTCCGAATAGCGGCCGGTATAGCGCGCGAATTAGCATTTTCCACTTCACGATTTTAACGCTGGTTTATCCGCGCCGGATGAAGGATTATCGCGCATCCGAACGCCCGTGAGAATCTCGCCGTAAGGTCGCAACATAATACGTCCCTTTGTAAGGTGGCTGATCCAGCCTTATCGTCAGAAACTGTAGGTTGCGCCCGAGCCGGAGCGCAGCCTCGAGACGGGAAGTTTCGAGTCCCGTCCATCTTGCCCACTTTGCAGGATGATAGATGGACGATCTCCTCCTTCTTCTCCGCTTTCCTCTGCTTTTTTTTCCCTTTCTTTTTTGTTCCCCTGCCGTTCCTCTTGTCTCTCTTTTCTGCCTCGGCTCTCTCTCTCTCTCTCTTTCTCTCTCTCTCTCTTCTCTCTCTCTCTCTCTCTCTCTCTCTCTCTCTCTCTCTCTCTCTCTCT